TTTACCCCTTTCTTGCATAGCCTTTTAGCTTACCTTGCATCTGTATTTGAGCTCTGTGTATAACATAAAAAAGTTCTGTTTTTAGGCCCTCTAAATAGTTTGTTAAGAGTGTTTTGTGATTTGAAGTTTTTTGACCGCTCTTAAGCCTTGTAAGGCTCCATTTTGTGCCATTTTGAGTGAGCTCCGAGACCTTGGTGTTTGGGCCTCCTCACCACTGAAATCTTGAGGGATTTCAGAGGTGAGGATGGTGTCTTGAGGTCCCAATAAGGAGAGGGCCACCCCCTCTCCTTGTTGTCCTTGAAAAGGACCATTTTTTGCCTCTTGAGGGAGCACCTAGCTTAGGCTCTTGTTGACCATGCCTTAGCTGTTATTTATGCTTATTTTGCCATGAAATAGCATTGTTGTAAGTTGGTTTTGGTACACCATGCTTGCTTAGCATACATGCCTTGTAATGCCATTTTGTTGCCTTAACATGCCTTAGGTTGTAAACCATTGTTCTAGCATGTTTTAGGCTTGGCTTTGTGAAGCTTTCATGTTTATTTTGCCATGATTAAGGTCTGTCCTTAGTTGTTTGGGTCGACTTTGGCATGCATTGTATAGCCCCTTTGCATTTTGGCTTGCTAGCCTTAAGTTTTGGACCATGTTGCATGCTTGGCTTGTCTTTGTTTAATTGGTATGGCACCATTTTTAACATAATTTCAGAGCTTTTGTTGCATGCTATTTGTCCATGTTTGCATCCTCTTGAGTGTGCTTGGGAATTGCCCTTTAATGCTTGAATGCTGGTCCATGTTTTCATGCATGTTTGTATGCCAATTAGTCCTCATTCCTTAGCATCTTGGTCACTGTTTTAGGTTAGTTTGAGGGCTGCCTAACTTAGTCTAAGACCACTCTTGTATGCTGTAGCATGCTTACCTTGTATGTTGTAATACATTTGGCCCCTTTGGTATGTTGTTACATTCTTAGGTGGTAGTACATTTAGCATGCATTCCTTGCCAAGTTGTCTAACTTGTTGTATGCCTTGCATGTGTGCACATTGGCACTACACATTGCGTGCATGTTGGTAGCATCCATGCATTTCCATGTCGCATCCTTAGCTCACATGCTTAGGATTGCATTCCATTTGTATGCATGCTTGGCCTCTTGAAATGCCTGTGATAGAGGTTGGGTCCCATTGGTTTGTTTATGTGCATTGCATTCCATATCAAAATGCACACTTGGTCTCTTGGGTCATCACGCATTAAAATGCGCGATTGATGGTCCGAGAACCAAGGACCATGTCCATTTGAGTCATAAACATGATAAGGGGTGTGATTGGTGCATACATTGCTTGAATTGCATTGCCATGCAAAGCTCTGTCCTCTGCTGCTGTCAAACAGATTTTGCAGGAACTTTTTGCCGATCGACTGCACATAGTGCCGATCGGCAATCCATCCGTGGCCGATATCTTCATCAACAGCCGATGATCACATCTTACTGCCGGTGGCCATTCTCCTCAGCCGGTGGTGTCTCCCAATGTCCAGTGAGCACATTCTGAGACTTTGGAAGTTTTTAGAGGGGCAGCGTAGGGAAAACAGAGGCAGCTTGCGCATGGCAGTGGACTTCCGAGCAAGACCCGAGCACGCGTGCATTGAGCCCTCTTCCCGAGGCCCCTTTTTTCTTGCTTTCTTAAGTTAATTAATCGGTTTAATTAATTTAGTTGGTCTGTAATAATTAATTAGCTAGGGTAGTTAATTCATTATTCGAATTGTATTATTCTTTTGGTCCCTCCGAGCGAGGGCGAATTTGTAATAAGTGTGGGTGAGTGTGTGCATGTCTTTCAACCCCCACTTCTTTCTCCCTTTTACTTACCTGCTTTAATGGTTAGTAATAGGTCATGTTTAATTTAGCATACCTTATGCTATGCATGCGTGCATCCATATATTTGTCTTGCATGCACCAGGCTCGGTACATCATGCTAACTGCATTAGTACTTCAAATCTAACTTGAATACATGCTACTTGTGCATTTTCACATGTCATTCATAGACTAGCCGAGCCTACTCTAGTGACATTCCGTATGCGTTGCATAGCATTTAAACATGGACTTGGATCATGCATTGATTGCTAACGAGTTCCCTGTTTAGCATGGAGTACTATGTAAGTATTTATGCTTTAGCATCTTGCATGAGTGTGAATGTTAACATGACAGTATGCTTGCCATGCGGCTATATGTTAACATGAATATTACTGCTTGAATGCCTGTGGGTGAAGGTCGGATTGTCTGAGTTGGAATAGCTCATTGAAATCTGTGTTTTAGCCTACTTGCAAGTAGCAAATTCCAAAACATTTTTTCCAAAACAAACGGTATGTGCAATGCTTATTCCCAAATTAGGCAATCTAGTCTAACTTTTGTGCTGTGCGCATAACATAGTAATTCTAGGCTAATAACCGGATTAAGAACACATAACGTTTTCAAAATCGGATATCATGGTTAGTAGAGGCCGATCTTCGGATCGGGGCTGAGAGGGGGTGCTCATAGCTGACCTTCCCCAATCGTACCCAAGTTCCCGAGCCAAGGCAACTTTGGTGATGACGGACACGTGGCCTTTGGCACCGAGTCAGGGTTTCCTAAATTCCCCAAAATAAAATATTTAGGTAGCGACTCTGTATCTGGCAAAGCAGTCCATGTTTGGAACTTCTTTTCAAAAAATCTGTTTCTCAAAACGATTTGCCGGATTTGGACTCTTTGGTTCAGATTAAGAACCGTGACACAAATCGAGTCTAAACTGTAGCGGGGTCCCTCGCGGACGTGTTACACCCCCCTTCCCCTTTTTTTTTTTTTTGCCTTGCAAATTTTTTATTAACCGTGCTTTTTGTATGTTATCAAGTTCTCTCAAGTTCTAAACTTAAGAAAAGCCCAACCCTTAACGAGTATATCAATTGAATTGAATCTTTTGCGTTCTTTGGCTTGAACAGGTGCTTTACACGCTTCGTGGACTGGAAAACCTTCAGACAGCTAAGAAATATTATGCATCTGCAATAGACTTGACCTGTGACAAGAACACCAGAGCACTTTATGGTATTTTCTTGGTGAGCGCTCTCTGTGTGTGTGTGTGTGTGTGTGTATATATGTGAAGGGGCTAAATAAGGAATGGGTCGAACTCAAGCCATGGGCCGGTCCAATCCCCTAAGCCCAAATCCAAATGGGTCAGATGAGCATGCGGGCAACCCAATTAAGCCTAACTCAATTACTAACAGACCACCCAAGTCCTCAAGCACTTGGGCCCACTTTGCAGTGGAAAGGCCAGTCTAGCTGCGATACTGGGCTAGGGCCGAGCTGCAGGACCAATTCTATGGGCCAAACTGATGGGTCGAACCCATCATCAGAACCAAAGTGGGCCAAGTCCATGTACAAAATATCTAAATGGGCCAGCCCATCCCAACAGAAGCCTCGTAAAGGGCCGAGCCGAGGAACAACGGTGCCGAGCTGAGGGAATCCCTCAAAGAAACTTGGAAGCTGTGAGTATATGCACGTGCAAGTTGCCACCTCAGCTGGTCCCCTACACCTAAAATCACGGAAACAGTTAAACCAGAGGAATGTGGTTTGTTATCAACATGACTACAATGAGTATAAGCACCTCTTGACAACTACCAGATGGTCCCCCACCTAGGGCTATGCTAAAAGGAAACTTGGCAGCACCAAAGCTCCATGAAACCATCTTGAGAAACAAGCAAGGAACTCTATATATACTACAAAAACTTCACATTGAAGGTAACTAATAAAAATTGAACCCCACTTACTACAAATTCAACTCTCTACACTTTTTCTCCGACAATTGATTCCCACACCGGAGGGGTTATCCGGCCATCCCCGGCCCGACAGCTCTTACGGTGCTTCTTGCTGCAAGAACCTCAATCCTTGGATAGTCCAACCGAGTGCGGAGCCCCAATCCACTTTCATCTAATGCGGAATCTGGTACGCATAATTGGTGAGGTGAGCGTGGAACATTTTTTCTCTGAGCTTTGCCCTTAGTTTCGGCGATGGGGGTTGAGGACATCCCACCATCGACACATACTCCACAGACGGAGAATACAAAGGACAAAGGCTTGACACTCCCAACAGTCCTAGAAGAACAAACTGGAAACAATAACCGGACCCCTGAATCCGTCGAGCATCGATTACCCTTTGTGGGAGGTTCTTCTCATCACTTTTTTCTAGAAAAGGATTACAGAGATCGAATCATAGACTCCATGGGGATGGAGATACAGGAGTTGTAAGGGCAACTCAAAAGGGTGCTAGGTGATCCAACAGAAAAGAAGACCGAAGCAAAGCCCTCACGCTTACGACGGAGGAGCTTATCCAGAGAGCCACCAGTAAAGAAGTTCCCCAGAAATGAGTCTAGGCAGCAAAGCCAGCTAATCCCGGTACAAAGTGAAGCGGCGAGCAGCCACACCCGTGGGTCACGCTGGAGAAGGGCTAACAGGCAGAAGACGGTTAGCCAACAGACTGAATACCCTTCTCAAGACCTTCGTACTTGGCTGATTGGCAACAAGCAGAACGAACAATGTCGGGATCATCTGGACCGTACCATTCACCAGAGAGAGCACCGAGTGCTGGATAGGCTCGTCTCCTCGCCATTCTCCCCGGAAATCAAGGCCATGGGACCTCCAAAAAAATTCACCCCGCCAAAGTTCACTTCGTACGATGGGAAGTCGGAACCACTAACGCATATTAGCCATTACAAACAGATGATGTCTCTATGGAGCCGAGATGAGGCACTGATGTGCAAAGTCTTCCCATCCAGCTTGGGAGAAATCAAACTTCGATGGTTCGATCAACTACCCACTGGATCAATTCATGGCTGGAAGTAGCTCTCCGAAGAGTTCTTAGCCAGGTTTGTCTCCAACACTAAGATCCCGAAAGAGCTGGATACACTGTTCGGTCTCCAAAAGGAGCAGGAAGAAACGTTGCGCAGTTATGCTCTGAGGTATTGGGAAGAGTACAATGACCTGGAGGAAAACATGTGCAGTGAGCAAATGGCCGTTATGTCTTTTAAACATGGTCTACGCCCGAAAAGTAAGTTGAGACAATCACTTACCAAGCGCCCGGCCATAGCATTGAAAGATTTGTGTGCCAGGATTGAGCAGTACGCTCGCCTCGAAGACGATCAGATCCCCATCGAGGTAGCGTCAGCAGAACAAACAGCTCGGCATAAGACGAGAACGGACCAAGGAGAACACCGAGGGCTCATGGTGAATGAGGTGGATAAGTCCAAATCTCACGAAGTAGTTGTGACCGTATTCAAGGAACCAATCTATCGAATCTTGGAAAAGATCAAGAGAGAGCCCTTCTTTGTTTGGCCGCCGAAAATGTTGGGATATTCGACTCGGCGTAATCAGAAGCTCAGATGCACCTATCACCAAGACAAGGGGCATATGACACAGAACTGCAAAGCACTGAAGCAACACTTAGAAGACCTAGTAGCAGCTGGGCACCTCTGGGATTATATAGATCAGGATAAAGAAGTGACCGAACCGGGGAACCCACCACAAGAACCAAACATTGAGCACCCACCTTGGTTGATAATAAATGTGATCCATGGAACAACGACCCAAGAACCTGAAGAGGCACTGAAAGAAGAGTTTGCTAAGGCTGTGCAAATTCAGCAGGTCATGTCGGTAGAGCCAGCATCGAAAAAGGTACGCTCGGCAACCAAACCCCCTTTAAGCACTGTTTCGTTTACTAGAAAGGATTTAGAAGGCATACAATACTTACATACTGATGCACTGATTATAACTGTGGAAATTGGGAAACGGTTTGACGTAAAACGAGTCCTAGTAGATCAAGGCAGTGCAGTAGACATATTGTATTATGACTTGTTCAGAAAGCTTGGTCTCTCTAAGCAGCACCTCACCCCAGCGGTAGCTCCATTAGTCGGCTTCAATTCACAGCCAGAGTGGCCACTTGGCAAAATAGTGTTGCCAGTTGTGGCAGGAACGAAGACCCTCCAGATAGAGTTTCTAGTTATTAATACACCTTCCCCTTACAACGCCATACTTGGCCATCTATGGATCTACCAAATGGAAGCAGTCCCTTCAACCTACCACCAGCTCATCTGTTTCTCAACGAAACACGGAGTAGAGCAGATCTCAGAGGATCAAGTTGCGTCCAAACATTGCTTCATGGCGGCATTGAAGGCCAAGCAACTTTGTAACTGGATACAGACAGTGGAAGTGGCCGAGCAGCCAGTTTTGGAAGATGTAGGGGGAGCTCCAGAGGAAAAGATGGTAGAGGATTTAGAGAAAGTCCTAGTAAAGGAGCATGATCCAGAAAAGTACTTCCTTATTGGTACCTCGCTAGGCGCTGATGAGAAACTTCAGCTGCTTGAACTGCTGAGGGAAAATATGGAGGCATTCACATGGTCAGCATACGATACTCCAAGGTTAAGCCCAAAATTTGCTTGCCATAAACTCAACATTAACCCTTCAGCTCGGCCTGTTGTACAGAAAAGTCAGAGGTCCTCAGTTGAGCACACTGAAGTAGTAATTGCCGGAGTCAAAAAACTCCTGGCATCGGGAGCGATTAGAGAAGTTCAATACCCATAATGGCTGTCCAACACAGTTGTAGTAAAAAAGAAAAAATGAAAAATGGAGAGTCTACGTTGACTTCACTTTCCTAAACAAAGCTTGTCCCAAAGACAGTTTTTCACTTCCTCGCATCGATCAACTGGTAGACTTAATAGCAGGGCATGAGCGCATGAGCTTTCTGGATGCTTATAACGGTTATCACTAGATACCACTGTTCGGTCCGGATCAAGAGAAGACATCATTTATCACTTCAAGGGGGACTTATTGTTACAAAGTAATGTCGTTCGGCCTCAAGAACGCCGGAGCAACCTACCAGCGAATAATCACTTGAATGTTCAAGGATCGACTCGGAAAGACCATGGAAGCTTATATAGATGATATGGTAGTAAAGAGCAAGCTCACTACAAACCACCTTGCAGACTTAAGAGAAGTCTTTGGTATTTTAAAGAACCACCAGCTTCGCCTTAATGCCTCGAAATGGGCTTTCGGGGTAGGAACAGGGAAGTTCTTGGGGTATATGGTCACTCATAGAGGAGTCGAGGCAAATTCGGATCAAATCAAAGCAATACGAGAGCTTGAAGTACCAACGAAGGCTAAAGAACTACAGAAGCTGGCCGGAATGGCGGCCGCCCTGAATCGGTTCATCAGCAAGTCTTCAGATCGGCTGAAGCCTTTCTTCCAGCTATTGAGGAAAAAGGCAGCGTTTGATTGGAGTCCTGAATGTACTGAAGCATTGCAAAGTCTCAAAAGATACCTCAGTACACCACTTCTTTTGTCCACTCCAAAACCAGGAGAGGAGTTGTACCTATATCTAGCAGTTTCCGATCAAGCCGTAAGCGCGGTATTGATTCGAGAAGTCAACAAGGAGCAGAGACCAGTATACTATGTTAGCAAAACCTTACTAGACGCCGAGACACAGTACCTACCCTTGGAAAAGTTATCTTACGCGTTGCTTATCGCCTCAAGAAAGTTGCAACATTACTTCCCGGGGCATCCCATCAATGTCCTCATTGAATTCCCCCTCAGATCTGTATTCAGCCGAGCAGATTTCTCTAGCCGAATAGCAAAATGGGCAGTAGAACTTGGTGAGTTTGACATTCGGTATCAACCCAGGACAGCAATCAAGGCCTAGGTCTTGGCAAATTTCGTCGCAGAATTTGCCCCCATCCAGAGTATCGATCTAGGGAATCCCGGTTTGACACAGGTGCCACGCACCATCGAACACGGAAAGCACTACACTTCGGAAGCATGGAAACTCTTTATTGGAGACATATGGCAGCTTTATGTTGTCGAATCATCCAATAACCGAGGCTCGGGGGTAGGAGTAGTACTTATCTCACCAGAAGGATTTATTTGGGAGTAGGCTCTCAGGCTCGGTTAGAAGGCTTCTAACAATGAGGCGGAGTACAAAGCATTATTGGTTGGCCTACGCAGTGCTGAACACTTCAGTGCAGAACAACTTCTTATTTTCAGCGACTCACAACTGGTGGTAAATTAGCTTTCTGGGGTCTATGAAACATGAGACGAAAGAATGGATATGTACGCAGGTAAAGCCAAAGATCTACTCAAAAAATTTCGATCCATACAAGTGGAACGAATCAGTCAGGACAAAAACAGCCATGTCGATGCTCTGGCATGCCTCGGCTCGTCAGTAGATACCAAGGATGCTAGAAAAATTTGGGTTGAGTTCGTGTTAGAACTAAGTATTACATCTCCAATCCTCTACCGAGCTGGATAGATCTGATACTTGCTTTTCTAAAAACTGGCACCCTCCCTGAAAATAAAAGCGAAGCCAACAAAATTAGACATAGGTCAGCTCGGTTTTGGATCTCATCATCCGGGAAGCTGTACAGACACTCCTATCTCGATCCTTATCTTTTATGTGTGCATCCAAATCTGGTCAAAAATGTTCTCTACGAAATTCATGATGGGATTTGTGGATGCCACGTTTGTGGAAGGTCAATGGCGCACCAAGCCCTCACTCACGGGTACTGGTGGCCACGGATGCAACAAGATGCACATCAGTACGTTCAGAAGTGCGATAAATATCAGAGGTTTGCTCCGCTAATACATCAGCCAGCAAAAACTCTCACTCCACTCACCAGCCCATGGCTCTTTGCCCAATGGGGTCTGGATATTGTCAGACCATTGGCACGAGGCACTGGGAACAGACGGTTTTCATCGCTGCAACCGATTATTTCACTAAGTGGGTTGAAGTCGAAACACTAGCAAGTATCAAAGAAGCGGACACAAAGCGATTCGTCATGCGAAACATAGTGGTGTGTTTCGGCATCCCGCAGGTACTGATTGCAGATAATGGAACACAGTTCGATGGAAAGATCTTCAGAAAGTTTTGTGCCGACCTCAGATTTGAATATCGGAACTCTTCTCTAGGGTACCCACAAAGTAATGGGCAAGAAGAAGCGTCAAAAAAAACCATCATCAACGGAGTAACGAAACGGCTTGAACATGCAAAAGGAAAATGGGTTGAAGAGTTATCCCACGTACTATGGGCGTACCGAACCACAGCACGACACTCAACGGGGAGAAACACCTTACTCTTTGACTTATGGAATGGAGGCCGTCATTCCACTCGAAGTAGGTCTCCCAACCCTCCGGTCTGAATTGTTTGAAAGCACCAGCAATGAGGAAGCTATTACACAAGCATTGGATATGGCAGAAGGCCGAAGAGAAGCTGCACTGATCAGACTGGTAGCATATCAGCAGCAGCTCATCAAGAATTTCAACCAAAAAGTTTTCCCAAGACAATTCACGCCCGGAGAATTGTTTTAAGGAAAGTCATGGATCACAAAAGGGTGCCCGGCGAAGGAAAACTTGGGCCTAACTGGGAGGGTCCCTACAAAGTCACAGTTGTTGCTGGAAATAGAGCTTACTACCTAGAGGATCTTAAAGGCCGAGCCATACCACGACCCTGGAATATAGCAAATCTCAAGAAATAATATCAATAGAATTAAGCTCCAACTTCTCTATTAGGATGTAAAGACATTTATCTTTTAGCCAATACAAATGCCTTCCCACTTCTCTCAAGACTGTCAAATTTTTGTAATTAGCTTTGGTGCATACCAAACAGAAATAGCTTTGATGTTTATCAAACGGAATCAGCTTTGATGTTTATCAAATGGAATTAGCTTTGGTACATACCAAACGGAATTAGCTTCGATGTTTATCAAACTGAATTAGCTTTGATGTTTATCAAATGGAATTAGCTTTGATGTTTATCAAACAGAATTAGCTTTGATGTGTATGAAACGAACTCAACTTTGGTCTTAACCCAAATGGACTTAGTTTCAGAACGACTGAACGAAATTAAAATTTAGTTAGCACTCAAACATGCCAAGTGGAACTGCTTGGTGGAATTATGTTTGGCAACTAAATTGGACCTTAGCCAAGTGGAATTGCTTGGTGGAAACCGCACTAACACATCTTAAGTAAACATTTCTGAATCTAAAAAATCTCTTAAGTATCGTCACATCAACACTTCAGTACTACTACATACAAACAGAGTTGGAACAGACTAAGCTAAACTCTATCAGGACCAAACTTCCAGCACTAGTGTTACTCAACTTCAGCTGGGGGCAAACAATTATTTTCTTTCAAACCAACTTGGACCTGAGTAAGACACCTCTTCATATCTTTATCCCATTCAAGTACATTCATGATATCAAAGTTGCAACAGACTTAAGCAGCTCTGCCAAGAGAGCACAGTCTGCAGCACAGATCTTACTTAGCTCCATGTGGGGGCAAAAAATTGTCTTTTAGAACCAACCTAGACCTAAGTAAGACCCTCTTCTTTTCATTATAAAACCAAGTATAGCTGTGCAACATATTCATTACCAAAACCGAGCACATGTTCGGCCCAGAGGTCCCAACAGAGCTCGGCCGGGGGCAAACAGTATAGAACCAGACCATGCATACGTTCAGCCCCGAGGTCCTAACAATGCTCGGCCGGGGGCAAATAGTACAGAAAACATTTAGAAATAGAAGCCAGACAGCATCAGATTGCAAATTCACAAGGAAAATTCCATCATCCAACAAAAGCACAGATGGCCTCATAGCCAGCAACAAAGAAAAGAAAAGAAAAAAAGAAAAATTGTCTTGGCAAGTATAGAGAGAGAACTCGTCAAGAGGACCGAGCCACAGTACATCAAACCAAAACAAAGTCAAAAAAGCAAAAACTTCAAATCTTTCTAGAGAAAACTTTAGCTTTCATCAACAGAGGAAACCTCAGGAGTAGTGTCCACGATCTTGTCCAGGCCGTCTTGGGGAGGAAAAGTAGAGGCAGCTCCGACTTCCTAAGAAGTGGAAGCTTCCTTAACCATGTCTCCCGCGGCTTCAGTCTCCAGGGTTCCACCCCCTTCAGCGTTCACCGTTTCAACAGCAACATCACTATCTTGAGTCTTGTTTACAGAATCAATGTCTACGGAAACTTCAGCCGGAAGAATCACAGGGATAGAGACAATCTTTGAACTCAAGGATCTTGAGGGAACTGGGACATTCTGAAACAAGGGAGAGCCTTCAGGAACCAGGGCAACGACTAGAGCGCTTGACCAACCCTTCAGAAAGAGCTTGTCTTGCAACACCAGCACTTCCTCTTTATAGGCAGCCCCAGCCTCATCCTAACCTTGTTGCCAATACTTGGCCTCCAACGCAGAGCACTCGGCAGCCATCACTGCGATAACGGCCTCCAGCTCTGCCACTTTTCCTTCAAGTTGAGCCTGCGCCCCAATAGCAGCCTCCTTTGACTTTTCAACTAAAGCAACAATCTTGTTTAGATGAAATGCCTCCCTTTCGGCAGTTCTGCGTCCTTCCTTCTCGGCCTCCAAGCTCACCGTCAGTCTCTCAACGTTCATAGCGGCCTCCAGCACGGCCTTTTCCAGTTCCTCCGCGCGGGTGATGGACAGATGCATCATCTGAATACACTACAACGGATTACAAAGTATTAAAAGAAAGAAAACAGTAGCATAACACCAAAAACTAGCAAGGCAAGAATGCACTTA